AGGAATATTTTTGGGAGACTGACCCCTATTTCCCAAGCAGGAATATTTTTGGGAGACTGACCCCTATTTCCTAAGCAGGAATATTTTTGGGAGACTGACCCCTATTTCCCAAGTAGGAATATTTTTGGGAGACTGACCCCCATTTCCTAAGCAGGAATATTTTTGGTGTATTAAAATCAAAACTTTCACAAGAAATTAATAAATAATACATAAATAAATAAAATTTTGGCACATTTTGGCTTATTAAAATGAAGACTCTTGGCAGAATATTCTGGGAAAGAGGATGTGAGATGCAATGGAAAGGGAAATACTTAAAATTTACTTTTTTACTGCGAGGGACAACAAATGCAAGGACAGCTCTTCACACACACGAAAGATAAAAAGGTAAATAAATAAATACTCACGTAGGTGAGGATTCACTGGAGCTGGAAAACAAAGCAAAAATAAAATTAGCACAAAGAAAAAAAAAAATCTGATTGCTCGAGATGCAGATTATCCCAAATTTCCTGTTGGTCCCTTCCCCATGGCGGGGAGTGGGATAAGATGGGCTCTAAGATCCTTCCCAACCCAAAGCCTTCTGGGATTCTGGGATAAAGAGGTGAGTGGAAACAAGTGAGGGGTTCAGCTGCTCTGCTTTGTAACCCCTGGAAACGGGATGATTGTGGTAATTACAACCAGCAGCTGAATCTTTAATCAAGATCCGAGTCTACATGAAAAGCAACATTACCTGCAAATATCGGGGCTTTACATGGACAAGGCTGATTTCCTCCCACTATAGCAATTATTCTCACTTACTTTTGACAATACTGGATCCCACTGGGAATGAGTGTCAGTGTAAAGTTATAAATATTGTCATTTATGCACTGTTTGGCACCAGTTTCTTTTTCTGGGGCTAGAAACATGGTACTACGAATAAAATAATAATAATAATAATAATAATAATAATACAGCAGTCAGTCATAACCACAAATATATACTTTTCTTTCATACAGAATCTGGGTAGTGACTAAACCTCATGTAAAAACAGGTGAGCTGGACCACAAAGCAACTGGTCACCACCAGCTGTGGGTGCAAATCATCATCATCATCCATTTGTTCTCTCTGTGAGCAGGGACAGCACCCAGGGAAGGGCTGGAGCTGAGACAGGGCAGGGTCAGGTTGGATCTCAGGACAAAGTTCTTTTCCAGAGGGTGGTTGGCACTGCCCAGGCTCCCCAGGGCAGTGGGCACGGCCCCAAGGCTGCCAGAGCTCCAGGAGGGTTTGGATGATCCTCTGGGGCACAGGGGGGGATTGTTGGGGTGTCTGTGCAGGGCCAGGGGTGGGGCTGGATGGTTCTTGTAGGTCCCTTCCCACTCAAGATATTCCATGATCCCATGAGCTGCTGTTACAAGAGGCCAACTCCACACACCATTAGAGTATTAACATTATTATTACTGACTTTTTTTAACATTTAAAATTAACTATTATTAACATAAAGGAGTTTACACGACCTCTTTAATCACTTGTTAACTTTAAAAATATTTAAGTGCACATCAAAAAACACCATGGCTGGAGATAGGCTTGGATAAGCTGGATCCATGGGCTGATTCCAAGGGGATGAGGTTCAAGCAGACCAAGGGCCGGGTCCTGCCCTTTGGCCACAACAACCCCCGGCAGCTCCAGGCTGGGCCAGAGGGGCTGGAGAGCAGCCAGGCAGGAAGGGAGCTGGGAGTGGGGATGGACAGGGAGCTGAACAGGAGCCAGAGTGTGCCCAGGGGGACAAGAGGGCCAAGGGATCCTGGCCTGGCTCAGCAACAGGGTGGCCAACAGGGCCAGGGAAGTGATTCCTGCCCTGGACTCAGCGCTGGGGAGGCCACCCCTGGAGTGCTGTGTCCAGTTCTGGGCCCTCAGCTCAGGAAGGACATGGAGGGGCTGGAGCAGGGCCAGAGGAGAGCAACGAGGCTGGGGAAGGGACTGGAGCACAAGTGCTGGGAGGAGAGGCTGAGGGAGCTGGGGGGGCTCAGCCTGGAGAAGAGGAGGCTCAGGGGAGACCTCCTCACTCTCTGCAACTCCCTGACAGGAGGGGGGAGCCGGGGGGGGTTGGTCTCTTTTCCCAGGCAACTCTCAGCAAGACAAGAGGGCTGGGTCTTCAGCTGGGCCAGGGGAGGGGGAGGTTGGAGATGAGAAAGAATTTCTTTGCAGAGAGGGTGCTCAGCCATTGGAATGGGCTGCCCAGGGAAGGGGTGGATTCTCCGTCCCTGGAGGTGTTTAAGGACAGACTGGATGTGGCATCAGTGCCATGGGCTGGGAACCACGGCGGGGTTGGATCAAGGGTTGGACTGGATGACCTCGGAGGTCCCTTCCAACCCAGCTGAATCTATGAATGATTCTATGATTCTATGATCAGTTTTAGTGTTTTCACCTCACCCACCGAAGTTTGAATGGGATCTCACAGCCAGTTCCCATCAAACAGGCTGACACAGATTTACATAAAGCGATGGAGATAATGTTGAAGCCGCTGCTCCAAGATGTACCTGCTGTTCCTCTGAGCCATCTCTGCTTTGAATTACCCTCCAAAACGCTCATCAGAGCTCCTCCAGCTGCCCTGTCTGTATTTCCTTGCCAGACTGTGCTCACCAGCACAGTCACACACGGAGCTCCCGAAGAATCTGCCAAGTGATGTTTGGCTGGGATTATCAATGTCACTCCCACTGTGAGAACTGCTCTTTTCTCCTGTCCTTCCATGTGCAGAGCAGAGAATAATTCATGGCAGGCAAGAGATTTGCCGGGGAAATCCTTGTGCCACGGGTAAGTTTGTGATTCGTGGCACCAGAAGCTGCAGAGGTTTTATTTTGTATTTACAGCTCCCGCTTGGGATGGCAGGAGATGCATAAAAAACTAGTTACTGAGGTCTTCCTGCTCTAATAGTCTCCTTATTTTGGATATTCAACATTGGGAGCTGTTATTTTTCTGTATTATTTTATATATTAGCCATTTCCAGGGTAATTTTCAAATTTTAAAGACAATTTTGCATCCAAAGGTGTGCGACCCAATAAACCTGAACTCACAAATAGGATTAATGTGGCTTTACTTAAACGGTCTATAAGTTAAGACATCTCATCTTAAAGTGTTACTGGAGCAGTTTTAAAGCCACTGGAGGGACATGGGCATGTCCAGAGGGTGGAAAAAAACCTAGAGAAGCTTTTTCCTCTTGAAAGAGCAGCAAACACAATGAACGCTCCAGAAATGTCCTGTTGATCCTTCCACGCTTCACAATCATCCTACAGAAATCACTCCTGCCTGGTACCAACTCAAGATTGTCCTCCTAAAAAAACCCAGCTTAAGCTGTCCAAGTAAAACCCGGACAGTGCACGGTTCATTTATCCTCAATTTGCTCGAAAAATCAGACTGGGCTGGGAAAGTTAATGCATTCCTTCAATGCAAAAAGCCACATTTTTAGCAGCTTTCACCACAGAGTGTCTGATCTGCTTGTCACACTGGCTGCATTTCTTTAGGATGGGGTGAAATCCTATTAGGCTGGCGAGAGTTCCGAAAAAAAACGAGGCAAAAAATGTTTGCGGTGGGAATCCTCGAAAAATATGAATCTCTTGGGGCATTTCAAACCTGATAAATGAACTTTCTCCCTCTGGGGGTGATGGAGCAGCAAAAAGGCCGCACGGAGAGGTTGGGAAGTCTCCATCCTTGGAGATACTCAACCCCTGAAAGGACATCCCTGGAGCTTGGAACGACCTGGGCTGGTGGAAGGTGGGCAGAGGTTTGGAACAGGATGGTCATTAAAACCCTTCCAACCCAGTGCATTCTAGGATTCTGTGACAATTCCCTGGGTCTTGGTTCTCCAAAAAGGGTATTCCTGACGGAGTGGGATGAGGAAGAAGAGCTGACACTGCTGGAGGTCAGTTCTGCAGGGCTGCTCCAAACTGAACACACGGGTACAAACTCGCCCCAAATCCCACTGAACACAGGAAAATGCAAACGTTTCCCTCCTTGCCTGAGGTCTCACAACTTAAAAATAAAGTGGATAATGGGAGAAAAATGTAAAAAAAGGTTTTAATTCTTTTCAGGAACGTTCTCCTGATGCCTTTTATTCCCCGGGTGTCGTACAGAATGACTCCTCACGCTGCTGCAGGTCGGGTGCTGGGCATCCCACCAGCCCATTAACTGCTCCTTTAACATTCCAGCTTTGCAGTTGATAAGCACTGGATTTGCACCGAGATAAGGTGTGTGAGATCATTATTTTCCAGTTGGAGCTCTAACACCCATAAACCAGCCCCGTAATAGTTTGCTGGCACCACTCGGGGAGAGAAAAATGGGGATTTTAAGCACACAAAGCCCCAGTGGCTCTGGGATCCCTCTTCAAAGGGCAGTCACTGCAGGTTTAGCTCTTTGATAAATGTCTGGCTCAGGATTTGTGAAGCTGGGAGTTTGTCAGGACCTGAGTGCTGCTCCAAAGGCAGCCTTTTCCCCCCTCCTGGTTGTCTGGATTTGGTGTTGGCACCTCCTGGGCACGTTTGAACCGGGGTGTTGTTCACATCTGCACCGATGGCAGAGAGCAGCAGAAACATTTGCAGGGGACAAAACACTCCTTTTATGCTGCCATGGGAATGTTCTTCCTGCCAGGCAGGGGCTGGAAACGGGAATCACATCATGTTGCAGTGAAAGCTCCAGCTCAGCTCAGTCGGGACCTCAATCGACCTCTGGAGAGTTACCAAAATCCAGACACCACCAAAAAAGAGCAGGAGGGACTGAGGGACCAAAAGGGTGGGTTTGGCTTCTTATGAGGGCACTGGTCAGTGCATAAGTCACGGGGGGAATTTTTGGGGTCCATGGGAGAGGGCAGTGGCTGGTTGGGAGGATATAATCATCTCCATCGCAGCCAGCACTGAGAATTTGGGTTTGCTGCAGAGAACCCCCAAATATCTGCATGAAGATTCAGTTCCTGACTTTTGGGAAGACTCTGAGTCTTTCCTTGTGTGTGTGCAAAGAGACCACACACCTACCAGTGCCAGGAGACAGGGACTTATTAGGGCAAAGAGGTCCAACAAGGAGCCAAAGTCCCACAGGCATTGCAGCAGAATCTCCATTTTCTCCTCATTTGTGTGGTCATGGATCTAGAAACAAGTCATCCTGGTTTATCCTGTTTATTCCCATCCTTGGAAGTGTCCAAGGCCAGGTTGGACAGGGCTTGGAGCAACCTGGGCTAGTGGAAGGTGTCCCTGCCCACGGCAGGGGGTGGAATGAGATGAGCCTTAAGTCTCTTCCAGCCCAAACCATTCCACAAGTTTATTATTCCAAGTCCTTTTGTTTAGCTGGGATTTTGCCTTCAGGAGCTTTGGGAAATGTAGACCTTTCAACCCCTTTCCTGTGGCAGGTGGAACCCAAGATTCACCCACCCCCAGCAGCAGCAGATGTGGCACTTGGTGAAATGGCCCCTCCAGCCTTTACAATTGAGATTTGAGGTCCTTAATGGGATTTTTTTCCTCCCTTGACATTAAACCAGTGATAAAACTAATTGATGATGAGATTGAGAAGGGCTGAGCTCATCACTGCCCATGAAGAATTGCACATGGGATGCACCAGACACTCAATTTTTGTTCAGATTCATTCACTCCTTTGTCCAATAATGATTTTGGAAAGCAAGTCTTGATGTGTAGGTTGGTTTTTCTTTTGCTGAGTGGGATGTCCTGCTTTGGGCTCTCTGTGAGCACTAATCAGTGCTGGATCCAGCTCCTGGAGCAACTGGAACTACACTTGGCCTGTGTCCACATGGCTTTTTCCCTGTGGGATTGGCAACATTCCTCATGAAAGAATCCTAGAATGGTTTGGGTTGGAAGGGACCTTAAAGCCCATCCAGTTCCAACCTCCTCTCCAAGGTACCTCCTGCCCTTCAGTGCACTTTTTACAGCAGAAAAACAAACCAAAGAAAAGAGTCAGTTATTCATTAAATAAATACCCCGACAAAGGTATTTTGAGGGGTTTACCAGAGGAATTAATTCCTGGGAATACTGGGAGACTGCATGGAAGGATGTCCGGAAACTCCCTTTTTCTTGTTAGATTCAAGTGGACAAATCTTTGTGATTTGTAACCTTTCAGAGGAAAATGTGCAAATACCCTTTGTGTCATATATTATAGAAATTTATACATTACATAAACCTGCATGGGACTAGAAACAGCCACCTTTTTAAAAGAAAATAATTCACAAGAAAATAATTCACAAGAAAATAATTCACAAGAAAATAATTCACAGTAAAATAATTCATGTGAAAATAATTCATGTGAAAATAATTCATGTGAAAATAATGCACGTGAAAATAAAACCTTCTCCACAGTGCTCATTCTCAGGGGGGAAAAAAAGGTATTTTGATATCACAGCACTGTTTTGACACCTTCAGACTATTTGTTTTGTGGATTTTGTCTTCAAAACTTGTTGTCCTTCAAAGAGTTCCAAGCAAGAACCAACTCAAAATGAGCGATTAGAAATGAACGATGATTTTTTCCTTTATTTCCTTTTTCCTATTTTTTCCTTTATTTCACAAAGAAATTGGAGATGATTTTGAATTTGGTCTGTTCAGATTTTTTTTTTTTTTTTGCTTTTTGTTGTTTGCTTTTTTGGTTTGCTTTTTGTTGTTATGAACCTTCCCAGTGGTGAAGGCTTTAATTTCTACCCGGCTCCTCCTTCCTGGATGATTGTTTTGGTGGATTATTTCGGGATTGGGAACGTTCAGACCCCGCCCAGCAGACCCAGAACACGCCAATAAAACATTTCCCGGCACTCAAAGCTCTTACCACTGTATTTGATGACCCGAATCGTGGAGTCCCCCTCCCCAAATCTGGTGATGGGGGTCAGTCTGACTTCGTAGGCCTCGGGCTTGATGAGCTCGGTGAGGTTGTAGGTGATCAGTTCTCCCTTCTGGATGTTGCCATTCACGGTGATTTCCTGCTCCCACCAACGCTGTTGGCCAGCCTGAAAAACCAAGAGGAGAATTCCAGCGTCAGAGAGATTTGGGACAGGTTCTGTCTTCACCTCAGAAATGAGTGGAAACCACCCAGAAGGATTCGAGATACAAGAACCTCCTTTAAATAACCCACCTGAGCATTTTGGTAACAAACAAACAAGACTATAAATTGGGAATCTATTTTATTCCAGAGGCCACTCCTCCTATCCTCAAAATTGTTGCTCAGTCCAGGTCATCAGCTTCCCCAGGGTGAATTTTCTCACTGCCAAATGTTATTCCTTCAAACTCAACCAGTTGAATTGACTCTCAGGACTTGTATCCTTATTCCCTGAAATAACCCACCTGGGCATTTTGGTA